AGTTGGTCCGTTTCCGAGTTCTCTCGTTCTCGAGTTATGCGCTTTTCTTAGCGGATGCCTACGTCATAACATCTACCTGCATGCAAAATTTCAGCCCGATTCGTCCAGTGGTTTGGGCTGTGTGTTGATAGATCATTATGTCAGTCAGTCACCTTTGAGTTATATACATATAGATAGATAGATAAATATTTCCAACACTCACACCAACTAGCCTAACCCCAAAGTAAGCACTGTAAGGCTTGTGTTATGGGATACTAGGGTAACGGATAGAATACTTAAACTGTACATTATATAAGTATATCTTTATATAGAAATACATATTAAACATCCATGACTGGAATACAAATGCATCACAGAAACATCTGCCCCACCAGGATTCGAGTCGGCGACACAATGAAACCCGGCGTACAAACCACTCGGCTACGGAGGTCGTCCGTATAGAATAATAGCTATCTGTTGTAACTTGTATGTTGGCATTAAAAACTGGCCAAATGCTGGCCACGAAGAAAAAAAGTTAGCATCCATATTGCAAACTTGAACATTAGATATCTCTTATCTAATAGACAAGTCCGTCCGTCCGTCCGTGGTGCTGTTTCAGCGGCCAAACCGTAAGAGATAGATATAGAGAATGTTTAAGTTATAAGTTAAGAATAGTCTGATAAGACTACAAACCGGATGTGAGTAACGTAGCACTTCCGGTTTTCGAGAAATCACGTGATTTCTATTTCAAACGAAACCACACAAAATCTCCGAAGTTCTCAATTAATTAAATATATTTTTTTTTCTTTTTTGGTGAACATTTGGTTCACTGGTTTGCTAGTTTCAGTATGATACTTCCACGTGTACCTAAGAAAAAGTGATCGCACAAAGTTATCCGTTATTTTCCTTTGTTCTAAACACGGAACCCTAAATAACACCAAAAACTGATAGTCAAATTAGTGAGTGGGTTTAACGTACTTTTATCTTTACTAAGCATACGGCAGAAGAAGTGTCGATTTGGCTAACACTACACGCACACACATTATATACAAACTAGCGGCCCGCCCTCGCTTCGCTTCGGTGTAGAGCTGAAATGTAGACTACAGTTTTTGTTCTCAGGCTTGTATTATACACAATGACATTCATCTATGATTCTTCTTATACCTGCATACAAAGTTACGCCCCATCGGTCTAAAATTGACAAAGTTTCATACAAACTTTCATTCCCTATTTTTATCCCCTTGGGGGTAGATAGATCAAAATCCTTTCTTAGTGGATGCTTACGTCATAACATTTACCTGCATGACAAAATTTCAGCCCGATCCGTCCAGTGGTTTGCTGTACGTTGATAAATCACTATGTCAGTCAGTCACCTTTGAGTTTTATATATAGATAGAGCAACATTATCTATCAAAATATTAATAAAAATACGGTATATTTAACCCTAGTTTTAATATTGACACCCTTACTAAACCTTTTGAGGGTTTTTATTATGGCACTGATATAAAGAGGCAGTTATAAGTAGCACTTTTGGTAAGTTAAAATTTATAAATGGTACGTTTAATAACTAGTTCAGCAGTTAAAACTAAGCAGTAAAGTAAACAAAAACACAAACTAACATTGTGGCACGAGAATTTTATATATTAGATAATCTTTTTTTGTTCGTTAGTTTAACTTTTGTTGTTTTTTTTTTATTGTTGTATTTATAAGTTTTTCTTTTGATAAGATGGCCAATAAAGGTTTCATTTCATTTCATCTTCTGAAGAATAGGGGATTACTTCACCAGACGGGCGCTCCAATTCAAACGGGGAAATCCTCAATGCCCTACGTCTCTTGAATCATGGTCACAACATCGTACTTTTCTGCTCATTACTAGTTAATAGGACAACTTTTATATTACCTTTGCCTTTTACACCATAAGCTTGAACACTCAAAACACAGCATGTAGCGTCCGTTACTTCTATCATCCTTATTCGCTCTTAAATTACAAAGTATAGAGTTCAAAATGGCGCGTTAAATTATAATTCGTCTTTTGGTGGGGTAGATAAAATGTATCTGTTTGAACAATGATATGAAGAGCGATAAAATACAGCTTTTTAAGCGGCTGCGGTGCTACAACGAGTTATCAACGTACGGTGTGATTTTAGACTTTCGGTTATGAATCATCATCGGCTTTTTAATGTCCCCACTGCTGGGGCAGAGGCCTTCTCTATGGAGGGAATAGGAATGGGAGATTGGGCTATGACCCACCACGCGGGCCCAGTGCGGATCGGTGGGTGCTAACGACTGCAGATGCAGCCGGGACCAACGGAGACAGTAAATCAATGATATTAAATACCCTAGATATACCACGTGCGCTCAAAATGTGTCCCTATCAAGAAGTGCTTGAATACGACTCCAGCACTTCTTGGTTCACAGTCACGCGCGGACCGTTGGAAAGTCAACATGCCGCTGAGCTCCGTGAAAAAATGCGAAATAAATACTTATAGAATGTAAAATGGCGTTTTTTCGACAGGTATCTAATCAATATTTGCTACTTTACGCATTTGAAACAAATTATGTTTTAACACTTACTATAAACTGATTTAATAGAAAATATTTGTGATATTCAAATGCATGGTCGGTAATATAGCTATCTCTTTTCCTCGCGGTCCGTACCTAGTATTTAATATCGTTGCAGTAAATTCTTAGTCATCCATCTAATGACCGACCACTGCGAAAGTTGCTTTACTTCAACGATCGGAACCGAATGTGCTAGCCACCAGCGCTATCGAGCTCCTCCTGGGTTATGAATAGTTGATTGATAATTAAACAATAGCTGCACGGTATAGCTAAAAATACAACATTACTATTCATCCGAATGCAATTCATTTTGTGTGTACAAATGCAAAAGTGAAGACCTCCGTGGCCGATTGATTTGTACGCCGGGTTTCATGGTGTCGCCGACTCGAGAGGTCCCGAGTTCGCATTCCGGTGTGGGCAGATGTTTGTGTAATGAATACCAGCATTTGTACTCCAGTCATGTTTGTTTAATATGTATTTCTATATAAATATACTTGTATATGTACTGTTTAAGTATTTTATCCGTTACCCTAGTATCCCATAACACAAGCCTTACAGTGCTTACTTTGGGGCTAAGCTAATTGGTGAGGAAATATTTAATTTAATTAATTCCTCTTTTAAATTTCTCTTTTTTAAATTTTTGCTATTTTATAATTTAGGATACTACGTCCATCCATGCATTGGATTAATTTCTTATTGTGGCATGATTCTCTAAATCTAAATTGTAGATTTTTATGATGACTGTTACAAGCACTCATGAATGTCTAGAAGCTATGCCATCGGTTCGTAAATCTACAGCAGGAGACCTTGTACTGAGAAGAACCGGCAAGAAACTCAGCAAGGGCTGTTTTTTTCTCCCTGTTTTATTATTTACAGAGTCGTCAAATTGTAAAATGACTTCAGAGATGATTCATGAAGTCACCTTTCATTACATAATAATTAAATATTCATTAATTGTTTATCTGCATTTTGATTGCTGTGTCATACAGTATAAATACAAATTCACATCAATCTTCCTATTTTCTGAAGAACAATTATTATTATAATTAGAAACCAATAAGAAACATAACAAGAAATATGTCTTTGAATTTGAGTAGGCCTCCAGGTCTGGTGCTATTCAGACAGGGCTTGAATCAGTGACCTTTCGTTATGTGAGTGACAAACCTCCCCAAATAACCTATCAAAGTTCTTAATAGGACTATCACCTTTCTAAAGTATATATCCACATTATTTTATCATTGTTATTTAACACTATGAAAAATATCAGTTACTTGATTATCTTATGATATTTTGACGATCTCCACGGCTAAGTGGTTTGTATGCCGGGTTTCATGGTGTTGCCTACCCGAAAGGTCCTGGTGAATATGAGTTGCAATCCAGTCATGCCCTTCTAGCATGAGCAGCGCAATATGATATATAGCACGTTTTTATCACACTCAATTGTCAAATTACTATGGAATTTGACAGTAAGACACGATAAAAAACGTGATAAAATGTATAATGTAGTGCTCATGCTACAGGGACTGGATGTTAAATATGTATTTAAGACTAAGCATGTTATCACTATTAAGAAACTTTAATGAAAATGGGCAGGACACACAGAAGCAGCAAGATTTTGAGCCAAGCCATCCTATACTGGTACCCTTGAGATAGAAAAAGAAAGGCAGGCCCTTTAAAAGAATGGTGGATAAAATCAGAACCACAGCCGGAAGAGCCTGGACATGAACTGTAGTGTAAAGAGTTGCAGCAACATTTGGAGGAGGCTTTAGCCAATCAAAAGCAAACCGATATTATTATCTAAATTTTGATAATATATATTTATAAATCTTACAGTATTGTTTAAACAATCAAATGCCATTTTATTTGATAAACAGAGACAAAACAATGCATAGCTATTCCAAGCTTTCACTTTGTCTTCAAATCAAGGGGTCTCTTGGTTTTATTTATTGTGTTAAATAAAACAGTAATCACCTCACATTAAATTATCAAACATTGGGAAACACTAATTTTGACTTAATTAATGAGATGGTTCTAGTGAAGCAACAGCATTCTAAGACCTTGAAATGGAATTAAGTGTTCAATTGTCTAATCATTACCAATTGAATATTTCACAAACATGTTTCATATTGTTTTCTGATAAAATTTCTTATTTCAGTGCTAAGATTGAGAGATAAAAAAAAACAATTGTGGTTTGCAGTTTGCATAACATGATAATTCATTTCTTTATTATTGTTAGTACTAATCATCAGATTGACAAAGAAATATGTGTAAGTAAACAGTTGGTGATGTAAATTCTAGTGCGAAACTGATGCGGAATAACGGCAATGGTGTTTATTTACCGTGTGGGAGTATCTTATTGGTTTAAATTGGGAATATATTTATGTATTACGTATAAAAACATAACCTATTCAACAGCTGTCATTCAATGAATAAACTATATTTTTACTGATTAAACTTACCTCGAGCTCCTGTGTACGACATTTAGCTTCAAGTTCCTTCACATTAGGATCTGTTTCAACAGTAGCTGTGCCGGTATCTTCAGTAGGGGCTTCAGATAACACTTCAGAAGCGAAATTGGTGATTTGCCCTTTCAAACTGCTTAAACTCTGATTCAAGTTAAGCCACGACATTATGGTAGTTAGTCAATAAAGTCACATATCACAATTAAGAGATTGTAGTTGAAAGTTTTAGGTATAAATCAACAAAACAATAAGAAAATTGCATTATTTTCGCTACTGACAGGACTTGAACAGTTGGCAAAACAAGACTATTTACATTGACATTGACAATATTGACATTAACTTTTTTAAATTTTTGCTATATTATATTTTAGGATACTACGTCCATCCATGCATTGGATTAAGTTTCTTATTGTGGCATGATTCTCTAAATCAAAATTGTAGATTTTTATGGTGACTGTTTTGACGTTTTTGCGTCTATGAAGTTTCATATTCTAAATTTGAAATTAGTTTGAAACATAAAAACAATATTATGGTTCTTCATTGTCAATAGCGGCGGCAACAGAAATACACAATTTGTAAAAAATTCAACTATCTAGCTATCATGAGATACAACTTGATGACAGACAGACAGATGGACAGCGGAGTCGTAGTCATAGGGTTCCCCTTTTTTACCCTTTGGGTACCAAACACTAAGAACCAAGGGGTTTACTCTCTTTCTCCGAAACGAACTTTCGATAACGAAGTTCAAACGAAATTTAATTTCTTCAATTTAAGGTTATACTTAATTTGAACGATAAACTATCAAATTGGAGCTTACTTTGAGTAGGTTTAGAAAATCTACATCCAATCTATATTCCGTCGCCGAATATTATTATAATAGGCTAGTTGACACTTTTTGGAAAAAGGTTTTAAATGGTTAATTAATGTTCTATTAGACCGAAAAAAAATGTATTGTATTTTTTTTAAACCTAGAAAGCTACAAATCTTTAATTTTAAAATAGACTTTTCATGGACATACAAAAACGCTGTCGGCCATTTTAGTCTCTAGATTATCTATGCTATGACGTGAACTGTGGTAAACAAAAACTCGTAAACACGTAGAAAATTACTTTTAACTGAGTTTATAATAAAAAAAACATGATTTCTAATAAATACCACGAAAAATAAAGTAATTATCATTACTGTATTGTACGAGAATATAAAAACACATCCTTGAAGACTCCAGGAAAGTTGTGGATTAAAGTGCCGAAAGAAATTAACCTACGCAACTTTATTACACTTATTCATATGTTGTATCAGTTTTATGTTTATTACTATATTGTAATACTAAATGCACTGTACTTACATAGATGCCTTGTCGTTTCTCTGCTCCGCAGAGCAGAAATCGGGGTTTAGTGCAACAAATTCACCAACCATCAATGCGTCAATTCTTGGCAGATTTGTTCTTTCTGCTTTCACAAAGCCGGCATCCATAATTAGTTTTGTCAAAAAAAACTAAGTTTACTGTTTTTTTCTTTCCTAAAGTTAAAAGTGTTTTAAGATAAATTTAGTCAGACGAAAGAATCCACCTACAGTTGACATTTAGTTGTTTACCACAAGAGACGTCAAAATCATGGCGGATGTGGCGAACAGCGTTTTTAGTGTTTAAAAAATATAGACTAAAAATATTTTTTAAAATTAAATTTCTACAGCAATCTTCTGCTTTTATGAAGTGAAATCGATATATTAAGGTTCCTTAGACTAAATACTTTAAGAAATAAACATTTATTTAATACAATTCGACATGAGTAAACTAGCCTATTAAAAACGAATCAGAAACATAGTAAGAAAAGTGCGAAATTTCGTTCGAAATTTCGTTTTTCGTTAAATTAGAGTAGGCCTCCTGGTGTCTTTATGATTCCTATACAAACTCATTATTTACGACTAGGTTAAGTATAGTTGAGTAGTATCTTAAAGTGTAATACCTAACTGTCCAAAACCAAAACCAACCCAAAACAAAAAGGTACCCAGAAGAAATGATTCCCATTTATCAAAACTTATTATCTCAAGCTTGTCTTTACTTCGGTGTCTCGGCTGCTTCTGCAGTCATTAGTACCCACTAATTCACACGGGACCCTCAAGGTGGACTACGCAAGGCACAGCCCAATCTCTCTATTCCAGCCATGTAAAACTTTTTACCGTATAACGTGGCAACTTGACCAAACCATTGGTAACTCCATATTAAAGGTATTTGACATAAACACAAATAACTTTTAATCTCTCTAGGATAGAAATACTCCATCATAATGGTAGGTAGTAGTAGTTTTTCGATATTTTCCGGCAAAATTTTTAGGATTCCGTAGTCATGACAAGGAACCCTTACACTTCGTCATGTCCATCTGTCTGTCCGTCCCTGGTTTTGCTTGGAGACTGTTAGCACTAGAGAGCTGTACTTTGTGGGGCTATGTAAATCAACCACAACGACAAAATGATAGAAAAATTTTTGAAAAATATAATTTACTAGTACAGTTTGTCTATAAAGTCGTGACATGAATGTTTAAAGAACTATCATCATTCATGTGTCTTGCAACACCAAACTCATGTACATCAGCTGTCATCGAGTTTCAGTTGTGGAACAGTTTTCCTTTTGTATTTTTTATTGTTTGGATTAGTTTAATTTTAATTACAGTTTGTAATAAATTAAGATGAAACTACGCAGAAAGGTATAAAAATGAGTAAAGTAAATCGGAGTGGCACGCGGGAAGTGATTTTTAAAGTTTTCCAGCGATGTTTCGAAGACTACCAAGCTGGACGAATTTTGTGGGAGTTGGATGATGTTTATTTCTGACAAAAAACAAAATTAAAAGTATAGTCAAAGATGGAATTAAAAAAAATGGACGCAATCGCATCTCTGTGGAATTCCGATCATATCAAGATGCCAACACATTCTCAAATAATCCCCTATTAGCCCTGAATAAATATGTGGTTACGATTCCAACCTACAACGTAACCCGTATGGGTCTGATTAAGGGAATTCCAACAGAATTAAGTATGGAAGAACTTGTGGAGTCTTTGGATGTTCCAGATGGTTGTGGTATTGTCTTAAAAGCAAGACGTCTGAACCGTAAACAAATTGTTGATGGCAAGACTTCTTGGGTTCCATCCCAATCTGTGGCCCCTAAAACCATTTAGGGGCCAATGATGTCGATTCTGGCATGATTCTCTAAAGCTAAACTTAAATTTGACAACAGTGCATCCTTTTCGTTCTCTTTACAGAATAAAAAGGAGAGACTGATGTCAAATTTAGTTTTAAGTTTAGAGAATCACGCCAGAATCGACACCAATATCTACCTAAAAGAATATTTTCTTTTTACACATCAATTCCTGTTGAAAACTACCTACTACCAACTATACAGTGCAACAACTGCTGTAGGTTTGGTCATGTTAAAGCTCAATGCCATTCAAAGCCCAGATGTTTCCGTTGTGCCCAACCTCATGCAGGTGAAACCTGTGTGGTTCCTGAAGAGAAGGCTACATGTCTATATTGTTCCAGTAGACATTTTGCTACAAACAAGTCGTCCCCAGAACACTCTAGGCAAAAATCCATTAAAATCAGCATGTCACAGGAAAATATGTCTTTTCATGAAGCCTCTCAGCTTTATCCGCAGGTAAAAAGATCCTATGCTGACTCTACTAAATCTGTTTTACCCTCTTTACCAATATTACCCGGCTCTCAAAATCCAAGCATACAAAGCAAACATCCTACCTCCTACAAAAAAACTATCTATCGTCAAGCACGGTCTAGGACTCCCCTAGGCAGGTCATATGACAGATTAGCTCACCAAAATATTATAAGTAGCCCTTCATCAACTCTTCCTAATGGCTGTGCATTAGGTAATACAGAAGGCAACTCTGCACTCCCCTCATATGATTCTCCTAATGATGACTACTTGGACCTACTGTGGTTATTAGTAGCTATCATTTTGTCCAAATATAGTGATGTCCCCTTACCGCCCAACGTTGCTTCTAAGATTTTACCTCTTTTAAATAACTTAAACAAAAATGGCTCTGAACATTATACAATGGAATTGTAAAAGCATTCAAAGCAAAGTGTCAGACTTGAAATACTTGGTCAATAAATTTTCTCCATCATTACTTGCAATATCGGAGACATGGTTAAACCCAGACAGGCACTTTAGTGTCTCTGGGTTCTCGTGCCTTCTGGTAAAACCGTCTTTGGTTTATGAAAATTTAATTCTTCCCCCCCATAATTCAGACCGAATTAATGCAGTGGCAGTGAAAGTCCTTGGCATTTCTTTTGCCTCAATATACATTCCTCACCCTAACGCTGACTCCATTCAAGAGCTTTGGTCAATCATTGAAGCTCTTCCACCGCCAATCACCCTAATGGGTGACTTCAACGCCCACCACACCTGTTGGGGATCTCAACAGTCAAACAGCTTTAGCATTCTTCTTCTTGATCTCTTTGACGAAGAGAACCTATGTGTCATTAACACTGGCCGGCCTACTAGGCGGACTTCCCCATCTCAGAACTCCAGTGCGGTGGACCTTACTGTTTGTTCTCCAAATGTGGCTTCACAATTTAACTGGGACATTCTCTACAGTACATTTGGCAGTGACCACTTCCCCATCGTAATCTCTTTGCCTTCCAACTCTTCCAACCCACATAATACGAATCCTCCTCTTTTAAAGTATAACTTAAATAAAGCTGATTGGTCTTCATATTCTGCAACAGCTGAAGTCAAAATAGCATCCCTACCGGATATATCCCGGGACAACTGCCTCTCTGCTTATTCATCCTTAGTAGAAGTTATGATCTCCTTGGCAGATGAACACATCCCTCTAAAAAACCGTTCTTTTAGGAAAAAACATCTACCTTGGTGGGATGCTGAATGTACTGATGTGATTCGAAAAAGGAAGGAGATGGAAAAAAAATATAGTCTGTCCATGACAATGGAGAACTGTTTGCAGTACAAACAGACAGATGCCCGGACAAAAAAATTCCTTGCCAAGAAAAAGAGAGACAGCTGGGTGAGGTTCTGTGAGGAAATGGCGCCTGGCACCCCCTCTTCTAAAGTCTGGAAACAAATAAAGAGGTTCAGCAGGGCTTCCGACCGTCCCAATCCGACTTCAAATAACCCCGCAGAATGGATGGACACTTTTGCAGATAAACTGGCTCCACCCTTTGTTCCACCTATACATTGTCTCCCTCTCTGTCCGTATCTCGTCCTCCATTCTAGTCACCCCATGGATAAACCTTTCAATTTTAATGAGCTTCAGACTGCTTTATGCGGTCTTAAGGACTC